AAGAGTGTCCCACAAGAGTGTCCCACAAGAGTGCCCTACAAGAGTGTCCCACAAGAGTGTCCTACAAGAGTGTCCCACAAGAGTTTCCTACAAGAGTGTCCCACAAGAGTGTCCCACAAGAGTGTCCCACAAGAGTGTCCCACAAGAGTTTCCTACAAGAGTGTCCCACAAGAGTGTCCCAAATGAGTGTCCCACAGGAGTGTCCCACAAGAGTGTCCCGCAACAGTGTGGGACACTAGAGTGTCCCACAGGAGTGTCCCAGAAGAGTGTCCCACAAGAGTGCCCCACAAGAGTGTCCCACAAGAGTGTGCTACAAGAGTGTCCCACAAGAGTGTCCCACAAGAGTGTCCCGTAAGAGTGTCCCACAAGAGTTTCCTACAAGAGTGACCCACAAGAGTGTCCCACAAGAGTGTCCTACAAGAGTGTCATTTGGACATATGTAGCTTTTTGAACGTGTTTGCATTCGGGTTCGTGGGCTCCATCTTGTTATTATACATAAATATATAACAAAACGTTTGCTTTTGTGACCGGTAGTGGTGAGTTTGGTTGATGAGGATGATTGCAGGTCTTCCAAGCGGTTTCCAAGCTGCCCAGTTAAAGCCATGTTTGTGCCTACGGGAGGAAAACTGCACCCGTAGTGGTAGTGTTTTTGGCATATGCAGAATTGTCACTGTCACAGCATTGTCATCGGCTTCATAACATTGTCATCGCTTCACAACATTGTCATCGGAGTCATCCGCGCCATCTGATGACAATGTGTTTAAATTGGGTTGGTGGAAGGGTGGGTGGGTGGGTGGGTGGGTTGGGCAGCACTTATCATCGGTGTCATAACAGTGTCATCGGTTTCACAACATTGTCATCGGTTTCTTAACATGGTCATCGACTTCACAACAAATGCGAAACATGATTTGCTGGCCACACTCACGGCGCACACGCTGCGCACGATGTGAAAAAGACTGAAGGGCGTGATGATGTTGAGTTTCCAAAACATGACATCTCAACTTGAGATATCTGACACAGGGTCTACATTGCAAATCGCAGATGAATTGTGAAGCCCAATGGAAATGCCATCATGTGGCAGTCTTTGAAGAGCAAACATGGGAAAAATACAGATTGCAGTCAGACGGATATTCCTGCTGCCGTGCCAAGCACATGTTCCGAATTCCACCCGCCGCGATGTTTGTGAATCAGCACCAAGAGAATCAAGAGAACCAAGAGGGTTGAACACGACACACGTGGTAGGTGCTGCAGAAAGGTATCAGATTGGTCCACCCTTTTTCAATGCTTGTCGAGCTTGTCAAGTCGATGAACCTAGGACTTACCCTTGGGGTGCAGTGCTTTCTTTGGCTTATGCCCTGACCTTGGGTGGAGAAAGCCCTCAGACACTTGGCTTCGATTTCGTCCAACAGTTGGTGGTCAGTTCACTCATTTGGTTTGTGGCGTATGTTTGTGCATGGGAGAGCCGTAACAGGGATCTCTATCTAAAACTTGTCTCTCTGGGTTTGTGATATTTTCTTTGAACTGGCTGTATTCTTAACACACAAAGGCGGCACTGCCAACGACAGTTCATGGCCTTTAGGAACGCACCAACTCCTGTCGCCTTGTTCCACGAAGAACAGATTTGGACGGACCGCCTCTCAGTCGCGCAGGGAAGCCTGGAATCAACTCACGCCAGAACTTGGTGGCTCCTTGCTTGCGCTTCAGCATCCCACAAACTAAGATAGCAACATAACATGGCCCACCACCGAGTAGAAATAACGTGAATAAATACACATTTATATAAACCACACATGGACGAGTCAAACTGTGAGTTCCCAGGTGGCGTTTTCAGGTGAAGCAAATCCCTTCGTGCACTTGTCAAGCCTTAGCCTTATAACTTATAGCCTGGGTGTGCGAAAAACACCAAGGTTACATTGCATTGTCATGTTCCTTTGCCTTGGCCCTGAACTTCTTGGGAACCTTTGTCCCTTGGCCATCGGAGACCGTTTTCGGTTTTCGCGGTTTTCGTGGATCTTGGGCTGAAGGCGAAAGACCGGCGGGCAGCAGCTTCGACAGCGAACACTTCATGTTTCCTGTGGTCACCCAGAGTCGCTTTTTCCGGTGAAACAGATTTATGGGACACCCTTGATCTTGGTAACAGCGAAGTCGATTTCATGTGGCCCAGGCTTTACATGAGTTGGGCGCCAGTGCTCAGCAGATCGTGGGTAAGTGCCTGGGCGAAGTGGAAGGGAGCGACCGTCGTGCGTTGGAGGCGAAGTCATGGAGGCGAAAGTCATGGAGTTGGTCACAGAATCAGGCCAAGCCTCCCAGACTGTCGCAAGTGAGATGAAAACAGACCCGTCCTCCTTTGAGACCGAACGTTAAGCAGGGCCGAGCTGCCGACCCGGTCTCCAAGAGGCCTCCATTGGGGACCCACTCACCTGAACAAACAGAGTCTGTTGGGCCACAGGATGCAACCCATGCAACCCATGCCCCGCGCCATGGCTCATGAGGCTCATAAGGCTCAGCCCCAGGATGCCGCTCCTTGAAGAAGGAGCGCCCCCCCTTCTTGCAGCAAAGCGCCAGAGATCCCACCAAGCCATTCAGATCCATTTAGGCTGAATACCATCTGCTTGGCCTCCATCTCGGTGGCCTTCCTTGGGGAGCATCTTCCCGTGGTGGTGGTCGTGGGAAGTGCACTGGCCTCTCGGCTGAGTCCCTGGTAGAAGAGAATCCAGAATCAGAAGATGAGACAGTTCACCTTGATTCGGTCAAAAAGAACGTGACATGAGAATGGCCCAGAACACAACGTGATGATCTCCTTGAAAGGTTCAGTGGGGTCCTTTAAGGTTTAAGGAGCATCCCGCGGGATGCTTGTCGGGGCGCTTCAGAGTCTTCTTTGCCTTGTTGAGGTTCTTGGTGGGGTGGCCATCTTTGAACGAGGGCAGCATGACGTGGGCCACGAGGACGACTCCGTGCCAGCCTCAGCTGGACGAGCCACGATGCAGCTCGGTCGAGCGAAGTCAAACACTGAGCTCGTTGGGCTCGTTGGGCTCGTTGGGCTCGTTGGGGCTCGTCCAGCTCGACCGCTCAGTTGAATTGCCACCCCCCCCCCACGCTCCCAGGACACGGAGAGCGACCTTGAAGAAAGCCTTGAACCGATCAAGCCTTTGCGGTAGAGGCGGTCATTGTCGGGATGGAGGGGTGTTCTTCACCGCCACCGTCATGGTCGTGGTAGCAAACGAGGTCCCTCCAGTTCCTGCAGGTTACTTCCTACCGTTTCTGACTCTCAAGGACTGGAGGTGGAGTCCTTAGGACTCCTAGTAGCTTCCTAGTCGTTCTGTTCGAACCGTCGAAGGCCAGCGGCCATCCTGGCGCTGCGAGACCAAAGACTGTCTCAATGGCGTGAGTCGCTGAGAGGCCCGGGAGGCCGACAGGGTGAAGTGCTTGGTGATCTGGAAGGCAGCACCTGTGCAAAGCACCGGCTTGGCCGTCTTTCTAGATCCGAGTCCGAAGCTCAAAGTGGCTTCAATAGTTGGTTTGACCGTTTCATGCGAAAAGTTGAGTCCTTAGAGACCAACTGCAGCAGTTGGTCGACTCCTCGATACATTTCAGTCATGTAAAAGGTCTTAGACACGAAGCTGCCGACCACTTTACCACAGCAATACCAGTGAGTTCGTGTATAAGCAAGCGAAGGAGGTTCTCCATGCCCCTTGTCAAGGCCTTTCCAGAAAGATCCAGCCTCTCACTGAATTTTTAGCCCGCCAACGTGTGAAACTACCCGGTCATGGAATGAGACAAAGAGCCGCAATCCACCACACTAGACGTTCCTTCCATTCTGTTTCTGCACAACCTGACGCACATCGTACCTGACGCAGCCTCGTCTGACGACCGAAGGACCCCCCTCCCACAGTTGGACAGAAAAGATGCGCAGGGCCGGGCCTGGTGTTGAGTTCAGCAAACTGACAGGGCTCCCGTCAGTTCGCCCAACCGATCGATCTGGCCGCCAACTCTGGCGACCCCTCGGAGAGCGAAGAAGCAAGAGCTTATGAACATCGCGGGGCAGAGTCTGTCTGCAGCCAGACCTCGGTCTTCGCCTTTCAGGAGTTCACTCTTGGTGAAAGAGCGTACGTTCCTCAACAACTGAGTTTTCACTCTGTGGGTTTTGAGCCTTTGACTCCAGTCCCTTTTCTATTCATTTTTCACTGTGAAATCACTCTTTGACGGGTGATTATGCTTGATGATTCTTCAATTTCTGGGATTGGAATAAACGTTGTCTTTTTTTTGGAGCCTTGCAGCTACCTCGTTTTACAGTACCTTTTTCACCCTTCAACTCAACTGGGTAGGCCCAACGGCCACTTGTCTCAGCCAGACAAAGGTGGCTTTGGTAAAAGCGACGTCAAACAAACATGTGTCTTTTCATATCGGCAGCGGCCAACCATTCGGGCTCCAAGTGAAGGAAACAAAGAGTTTCCTCTTGCGAACAGCATGCGAAAAGTGTTTGGACGTTTTCCAACAAGAATGAAGTGTTTCGCAACCACCGGAAAAGCCACCTGAGATCGCATCCAGGTAGCCAAACGAACTCACATCCAGAAGTAGCCTGACAAAGTTGTTAGCAGCGAAGCCAACCACGACTTTACCCCCTCCCCTGCACAGCAGAGAGGCCAGGCCATTCGCAAGAATTCCCCACCTTTGCATGAGAATTGGCCACCTGCGCCATGCGACGCCTGGAACATGCAGGCGCCCCACCAGCAACCTGAAAGCCAATGAGGTCAGTGCTTGGTCGGTGGGTCCACGAAAATTCCATATGTCTCAGCTGCTGGTCGATGAATCCACCTGGTGAATAGCTGATTCTTAAGGAACACCTCACTTCAGTCCTGATTCGTTCCTCGCTTTTTGGCGGGTGCTCCGTCTCTCACTTCGCCTCACCCTCGCTTCCGTCTCGGCCGCGAGCGAACCACCTCGCTGACCTCGCCGGCGACCCGACCTGACCCGGTCCAGGCACGGCAGCGTCCCAGCTCAGCGCCGGGGAGCAAAAGCGTCCGGCACCGGCGGCGCTCCAGCGCTGAGCGTCCGGAGGCCGGAGAAGCTTGCGCCGGTGAAGCTGCTGGGGAACGGGTGAGGAGACGTAGGGCCGTAGGGTTTCGGTGGACACGTGGCGATGTCCGCAGCCTGTGGTGGAAAAGGACTCGGTGGAGATGTGTGGAGATGTTGGGAGAAAGTCATGAGGAAGTCGGCGGAGAGCCCTATACTATGTGGTATGATGTGGTATGGTCCGATTTTTCCTTTACCAGGGAATAAACATGGGCGCCCCATGGCTTGGAGGGTAGAGCCATTTGGGAGAAACCATTCTCTTCAGCTCCAGCCTACATCAGAGAGCTCGGAGTTTGGTCCTGCTGCCATTGGAACAGCCTCACATCCGACACAACCAGGATTCGCACAATCTCTTCACTCCCCGCTCCGGAGATGGGGTGAAGAACTATGAAGAACTGATTTGGTTGTGCGATCTTTCACCACATATCTGTCACAGGACGTTTTATTCTGAGCGAGGGCATCATCTCTGCGGAACCGTGCGCTGCGACTTCCGCTGATTGGTTCAGGCAGAGGATGCCAGAGATACTGACAATGTGAACCACCTCCTGACTGTGCAGGCGAACTGGGCAGGACACCTTTTCGTGGCCGGTCGGTGGGGACCGCCGGAGAAGTCCCAGGTAGAGAAGCTCCTCCACTCTGTGTATGTTGACGGTTGATGAATCAAGCTAACCATTCATATGAAGGTGTCGAACTATCCTGGTAGGTCTTTTTTACTCGACCGTCAACAAGAGTCAACTCTTTGTCGCTTTCGTCCCCTTCACAACACCCAGTTTTCAGCACGTCTGACACGACGCCGCAGCTCGGCCGCAGCGCCGTCGTCGCGTCAGGGAAGCCCCAAGAAGGTGAAGTTCGTCGAGGAGACGAGACCGTCCCGTTCGATGAACCGATGAAAGTCGTTTTTTGGATCGGGCGAGACGATGTCGCGAGACTCATGTGATATGATTATCGGTGAATATCAGTTATATATATATATATGTATATTTAAGCTTCCAACTGCGCAACAGAGCAACAAGGATGAACAATTCCACACTATGATCAACTACTTCCATGGATGAACAGGGTCTGGTCATAGTCTGGAAGTAGCTCGGTGCACCCACCCGGGAGTTGACTCCCCCTCCCCGGTCTCGATGGTTTCATCCTGGGAAGGGAAGGTGGGACACGACACGAGCGGAGACGGGACGCAGGTGAACCTTCCAGGTCGTTCACATCGCGCTTTAGACCGCAAAGCTGGACCATGAAAGAACAGGTGTTAGATCTGATGCAGATAACGCCCAGAACATCCGGCTGAATGCCAGGCGTAAGACAGCATGCTTCAGACGTGTGTGAGACAGCGGCTCCACTCTTCATCCGGAGCCGCCCAGACAGCGGTGGGACGAAACCCACCTCCGAAGGGGTGCCTTTTTGAGTGGAAGGCCCCCGGCCGCGCAGGGCGCCAACTTAGCGCCGCGGGGCAGTGCACAGGCCGTGGCACGCTTCGCTGGAGAGCCGAGGGAAGAGATGGAACGGGAAGCTACTACAGTAGGGGCTCCGGGCCTTACTGGGAGCGATCGGACGCTACGAACGGGGCTCTTGGCATTCCTACATTTAGACTTACTAGTACTCGTAACAAGAAGCTACTAGGGGCTCCTGGCCTTACTACTAGGAGCGATCGGACGCTACGCTCGGGCTGGCATCGCTACGTTCGGAGCATTCTTAGTTAGTAACAAGAGGCTACTAAGGTCATTTCCCACATCTCCCGGTCCCAGTGGCCCGGAAAGAGGGGGTACAGGTCTCGTTTGCTCGAAACGATGGGCTCCCTATCGAGGGAGTCGTCATGTTCCACACGAAAGTCATGTGGATCTGGTTTTCCAGATTGTCTTAATTGTTCCGAAGGACTCTAGGGCATCACACACTTTTTTTAAACATCAATTCAGTTTGACTATGAAGTCCAAAGAACTACATTTCCCTAAACAAGTAGCTCAACTATGGAAGATAACTGCTTGACATTGACATCTCTGGATGCTCCCACTGTGCTGCAATCTTTGTGAGAACAAATCCCAGGTGCAGGACTCTGCAACAGTATGAATAACAATGACCACATGGAATGGTTCAAGTGCAAAACAATGTCTCTTAGATAGGGTTACTTTAATCCACAGAATCGCTCGCGTTACAGGTTTGAACCCCGAAACACAGGTCAGCTAAAAAAGACACTCCATGAGGACTTAGAAGGGAGAGATGGTACTTTCACCAAAAACACACTCCATGACTTGCTGCAAAGTACGACGTACGACCCGAGGGCGTACGCGGAAAATCCCTCAGTCGCAGTCGCGCGTCGTGCCTCGTCGGCACCGGGTCAGTCCCTCGACCACGGAAGTCTCCCCAAGGCCCTTCAACAGTGCCAACATCGATTGCAAGTGGCCACGACGCAGCGGGGCCCATGACTTCACACAGAACTGGTTTCTTCTCTTCTCTTGTTCCCTCAAAGGTTTCGTGTGAGGAAGAAAACCAGGTTGGTGAAGACTTCCAGAGTACTGTGAGGGCCCCCTCAAATCCGGTGACCAAAGGGTGCTGTGCTCGGGTTTTCTCACAGAGTCAAGAGCTTTTGGTCGGCCACGATCGATGCTCACACCACCAGAACTCGGGGCCACAAACTGGGGCAAATTGGTCCCCTTGCGAGGTTCGTAGCTTCTTGTTACGTTCGTAGCAATGGCCTCCAACCTACAGTACTTGCGATGGCCTCCACCTAATAGCTTCTTTTTTGTAACCGCCCCAGAAGCTGCACCTTTTGAGCCGCACTGATTCCAGAAACCAGACGAAACGCCGGCACCCCTTTTGAGGCTCCGCCGAGGGGACCGGCTGTCGCCCCGCTCGGGCAAGCTCTACCGGCCCTCCTCAGCACAGGCGTGGCGTCCGGTGACGGTCCGTGACGGACGCGTCTTGGTGTAGAAACCGGGTGCCAAAGAGGCGTCAACGGCGGCTCTGTTTCAGAGGAACGGGATGAACCTGGCTCTTTGGAGATTTCAGAAAAGACCAGTTCAATTTGATGTAAAGAGATGCAAACCATCGTGATACTCAGAGGAATATTTATTTTGTTATTGTTGTAGAGCCTTTTCGCTGGGGTCAAAGGCTAGCAAATCCTCGGTTCATCCTTCTGGAACGATCACTCTCTTGAGTGGCGGAGAGACATGAATCTTGGAATGAGCAAATCATGAGCCCGCAGGAGAGCAGTGCCGTTCAGATTTTTTGCAAACAAGGTTTTGGGGTACGCCTTTCTGTCACCGTACCCCCAAAACAGCCCTGCAGCCGGGCCGGTTGATTCTCAAAGGTGGACGTTTGTTTGATGTTTGGTTCAGGCTCAACTGTCCGCCCAGCTGATCGGGCCTTGTTGGGATGACTCTGTGATTTCTGCACCGTTTTCTATTGCACCTGCACGTGTTCAGGTGAATTTCCAGCGAACAGCCGTCGGCAATCTCCAAGTGGTTTATCCACCAACCACGGAGGCACGATCAGCGCAGGCACTCGACCAAAGAGCCGAACCAACCAGTGGTTGAGTAAGCAATTGGCTTACCATTTACTAAGTGGTTGCGTTG